ACACTTATTGGTGATCAGTAAGACTGGAAGATTATGAGAAATTTTTGGTGTTCAAGATTTGTTATTCACATTTCAAAAGAGCACAAATGAGTAATTCGTGGCAAATATAGTACCGCTGGCTTGAGGTAGAGTGGTTCTTGGTTCTTGTAGTTCTGGAAATCCTGAATTTCATTGCTGTCTCTTACTAGTGGTTAAGACCATTGCTTTAAATCCTCCCCAGTCCTCCCTTAAATGAAGGACTGTCTCAGCGGCCGCAACCGTCTTGATTATGTCCACTGCCAGCCAACCATCCTTTGTGTATGTGTGGGAGATGCTCTTTTTTTTTTTTTTTTTAAAGATTTTATTTATTTATTTGACAGAGAGAGGGAGATAGTGAGAGCAGGAACACAAGCAGGGGGAGTGGGAAAGGGAGAAGCAGGCTTTCCGCTGAGCAGGGAGCCCGATGTGGGGCTCGATCCCAGGACCCTGGGGTCATGACCTGAGCTGAAGGCAGACGCTTAATGACTGAGCCACCCAGGCGCCCCTGGGAGATGCTCTTGAATCCTTTTTGTACTGAACTGGTGGATGGTATATCAGCTCACATTGAGCCTCTCTCTTCCTGACCCCAGAAAAGAAGATGGAAACTTTCCCTAACTGGGGCATTTGTTTTTAAACAGTTAACAGAAAGTTTTTTTTTTTTTTTTAATTAAAAAAATTTTTTGGGGGGGCGCCTGGGTGGCTCAGTCGTTAAGCATCTGCCTTCAGCTCAGGTCATGATTTCCAGGGTCCTGGAATCGAGCCCCACATTGGGCTCCCTGCTCCGCGGGAAGCCTGCTTCTCCCTCTCCTGCTCTTCTTGCTTGTGTTCCGTCTCTCGCTGTGTCTCTCTCTGTCAAATAAATAAATAAAATCTTTAAAAAATAATAAAAATAAAAATAAAAAAAATTTATTTTATCCCCATGCTTTCCTGGTGCATTTGAATACATTTTCTTTTCTTCTGTTTTATGAAAATGAGGACGATTTGGTTCACTTCTGTTTGATTTGGTCTGCTTGAAAATCATGTTTTGCCTTTTTTTGAGCCAGTTGATCTTTTTTCACTTAGAGTGTGTTATTTTCTAAGTCATTAGATGTTTTGTGTTTCTCTTGCACCTTAGCCAGGTACTCTCTGATCCTTTTAAACCATAGCTTCCAGAACTAAATTTGGTTGTTTAGTTTTTTCATTGGGTCTAGTCAGTGATAAAAGTAAGAGTACCTTTTCATGAATGTGAGAGAACCACCCTGCCGTTGTTCACAAAATCAAGCACCTTTGAAACTTCATTCATCATGTCTTGTCTTTTTTTATATTCATGCAATAATCAGGCTTAGCAGTATATTTTAGTTATTTTAATATAATGCACTTTCTCTCTAGGTCTGTTTTTTATATTCATGCTTAAAGTGCTATATTATTATGATTTTTTCTTTCTTTCTTTTTTTAAATAGGCTCCATATCCAACATGGGGCTTGAACTCACTTCTCTGAGATCAAGAGTTGCATGCTCTTCCAACTGAGCCATCCAGGAGCCCCTAATACTATATTATTATTAAAGTATTAAAATGATATTTATGTTCATATTTGAGGTTTAGTAATAATAAGCCCCATTTATTGAGCATAAGCTTCGGTTCCTGGAGAATTTTTTAAAAAATATTTTATGTTATTGCCACTGTACAAAATACTAAATTTTAAAGTAGGTACCCCAACCAAAGAGTCCAGTTGACATTGCAGAAATGCTTGGTCCGAGACAGTGTGAAAAGAGCCACAGTACTGAATACGGTTTACATTACCACATGAAGAGTGGGAACATAAATTGTCAGTATTTTGCCTTACTTCTTTTGTTTTCAGGAATGATTGAAAACTCTGACTTGGTATAGATTATGACATTAGGATAACAATGTGCTGTTTAAAAAGAAAGCAATCTTGTCTTTAGAGAACATTTTAAAATTATACTCAAGTGTCGAACTGTTAAAATCCCCAAAATGACAGGAGAATTTGTGGTTGAAGAACTTAAAATCTTATGAGGTGGTGAGTTTGGGTGACCGTGGTCTGGAGTGAACTAATGACTGCCCTTAATTTTATTTTCACTAGAATAAAACTACAGCTAGCCCACTGAGGGGGAAAGATGATGAAATAGTTGAAAGAGATGAAATAGTTCATTCTGTCCAGGTAATTTCTAACTCCCACCCTGAGTAATTTTTCAGAATAGACTTCCCCAGCATTCAGCAGGTGCTCGTAAAAGTTATACATTGTGGTAGATACTTTGTATACTGAGACACATTCTTCTCCTGTGTCTATTTGTTCATGCAGATATTTATTTTGTTTTATAGCTCTTAGCATTGTTGAAACTTTCTGGGCTCTCAATTATTCTCAAAGAACACTGTGAATTGGATTTTTGGAACTCCTTCAAGCAGAGATAAATAGGTATTTCTCAAGCCTGTTCTATGCAGAGTTTTCTGTAGCCCTTGGCAGGATGTGGGCTTATAGTAACAGCTGGTTACTACTCTGTGGGAAAACTGAGACACAGAGAGTCCTTAAGTAACCTGCTCGAAATCAACATAACTAGTGAACTGGAGCTGTTAACTAAGCAAAATACCTCTCAAGTTGCCTGACTATACTACTGTATTATAAAGTAGTTAAAAGTTCAGACTCTTGAGACAGAAAGACCTGAGTTTGAATCCCAGCTTAACTGTATACTGAGAAAGTTGTACAAATGGAATAGCACCTCATGAAGAGCCAGCATTAGCCATTGTGCCAAAATAGATCTACATTCTTGCTTCTTTTTGTTAGATAGAGGAATGCAGGTCTACAGCCTTATTTATTTCACTGAGGACTGGGCTTGAATCACTTGCTCTACATTCTAATTCTTGATGGAGGTTTTTAAAAGATGATTAGGGATAGAATGAAACAATAGATGAGAAATCATTTGTAAATTGCATTATAATAGGAGAGCATGAAGTTAAGTATTTCAAATGAAGTTAATTTTTTTCCACCATAAAAAGTTGTACGTTTTCCTCCTTTTGGCAACTGTGAAACTGGGAAGATCCCAGCTGGGCCAAGGACATCGATCTCATTGGCTTCCTAGCCCTTCGAAGTTTCCCCGAAACCCTTCAATGACATGGTTTGATCCCCCCACAAAAGTATACATTCTCATAGAAAATTGGGAAAATGTATTTAAAAAAGAGGAGAAGTAAAACGATGATCTCTTGTATAACTGCTTAGAGGTAACTGTTTTGTTTCCTTTTAGCCCCGGTTTCTGTTTTTGTTTTAACATAAATTGTTATTTGGGAACATTTAGTGATCCCAGAAGGAAGATGATATAAAAGTGAATTTGATAAAAGAATACTTGTCACTTGATGTCTTTTTTCCCTCCCAATTACAAGACCCCTAATAATTTAGGCTCTTCGTTATCACTTTTAAAGATGTAGAAAATCAATTATCAGCTATTTGGGCAATATAGAGGCCATTTTAAAGCTCTTTTCAGGTCTACTTTTGGGGAGGTGTCAATTCCTCTGTTGCTTTAATCTGTTCCTAGCAGAACCTGTGTTAAAAATGGGGAGGCCTGATTTGGCAGTAGTTACTGTGAAAAGTAACAGGGCATCTTAAATGACCATAACTTTTGTATGAGCCAGCAATGTGTTGTGATGGCTGTAAATGCCAATGCAGACTTGGGCATTGTCAGTAAAAGATCTCAGGATGGGATTTTCTTGCTGTGCCCTATGCATCTAGATCACATCCAGCATATTGTGTTCACTCTGGGGGCCTGAGGTTTGAGCTGGATATTGACAATGTAGAAACAGGTGACTAGGACAGCAGTGGGTCCTGTCAGCACTGAATAGTTGAAAGAATTGAGGATGTTTTGCTTAGTAGGCATCCTAGGAGCGCTCAGAGGAGTCCACATATGAAAGAGGGAGTAGACTCATTAAGGCTCCAGATGGCCAAACTACAGACCTTGGAAAGCAATGAGATGGGGGTTCTCTTTGGCTGATATGAGTGTGTAAGTGTGTGTGTGTGTGTGTGTGTGTGTGATGTAATTTTTGGGATTGTCTAGTAATGGAATAGACCTCTGGAAGGAGTAAGTTTCTGGTTACTGAAAGTATTTAAGCTGAGGTTGGATGGATCCCTGCCAAGAACTACCATAAAATGCATTTCTTCTCTGGATTCACTCACTCACTCACTCACTCACTCACTCACTCACTCACTCACTTCTTATTGAGCCCTGCCTATGTGTCAAGCATGGTGCTCAGTGCTGAGGAGACAGAGATCACTACTGTGGGCAAGAAGCTGGATTAAATAACCCCAAAGATCCCATTTTGGTTGCGGTTGAAAGAAATTGCTTGATGCTTCGATTTCTTTTGCCTTGATAAAAGTGTAGAGCTCTGATGTGTGTCTTACTCTGTCTTTGAAACACTCCAGCATGTTGCTATCACATTGTCTCATGGGATGCGGAGTTATGCTTCATATCACTCTCAGAAAGATTGGAGGCCTTTAACTCCTGTACATGACAATATTTTATTTCTCCAGCTTTGAACGTGGAGGTTAAAGTTGAATGTGGAGTCAGCTTTTGATGGAATAATGTTGATTTTTCATGGCAAGTGTTTAATTCCAGGCTGACTTACATAAGTTTTTAAAGATGCAAGATTTATCAGAAAGTATCATGAGAGAACATAATGCTTATTAAATGTAAGGTGATATTATTTACTAATGTTGGAAATTCATTGTACTTAAAACATAAGAGTCAGGTTCTAAGGTTACACTTACTTCTTGAGAGGAGTTATCATTTGTGTATATGGAGAGATTAAACCTCCAACTTCAATATTTGTAGATTGATCATATATCTGGATTAGTTCTAGCCCCTCTTGTAGAGATCGGATAGTACCAGGAAGAGCTGAGGTGCCAAGAACAAAGTGTGCAGATTTGGAGGTGATGTTGGGGTCTCTGTACATTTTGGCCCATCATGTAAGGCCAACTGTTCATTTGTTTTATGTCTAGGTTTGGAATTCACCCAGTTGCAGGCCGGATGCCTGGTCAGCTTAATGTGCTGCTGGCTGAGGCTGGGGTGCCATATGATATTGTGTTGGAAATGGACGAGATCAACCATGATTTCCCAGGTAAGTAGTGGGGGCGATGGTGAAGCTTGTTCTTCGTCCGAATAAAGCAATACCAGTCTTAGGACATAAATTGTGGGATTACTGAAGACCTGCTAGTCTGATGAAGAGTAACCTGCTCCTAGCAGGTGTGCAGTTGAAATGAAATAAACGAAAGACAGTACTGAATAAGGTACAACAGGCTTGTGAGCGGCATGGGTAGTTTTGGGGCCTAGGAGGAGATCAGAAGGGTGGTGAAAATCTCAGGAGGCAGTGGAAGAGGGACTCTGAAGAGACCTGGCTTTGGGATCCAGGTTCTGACTCCACTTTTGGAACTAGATCCTCAGCCTCAGGTTCCTCATTTATAAAATTGCTTCTATTGATAATTTAATGTCTAATTCTTGTCAGCATCTGAGATTTTACTGGCTTCCAATTGTACCAACTCATGATCAAGAAAGTAGTTTTCTGTTTTCCTTTAAAGTACTGGGACTTCACTAGATAAGGTGCCGTACTTTATGGCTGTCGTTGGGTAGATGTTGAATGTTAATGACATTTGGCTCAAGATCATGTTTGTTAAAATTAAACCGGTTCCCTCTGGCAAGTATCCACTGTAAACTTAAAAAATACTGTTTATTAGAGGAAAATAATGAAGTTGTGTGTATATCTACATTCACATGGCATTTTTGGCAAAGTTCTAAGGTAATTTATATTATAGTCCTTAAAGAGGGAATTTGGGCCATTTTATGCCCCTTTTCAGATTTCACTGTTGCTAAATTATGTGTGAAACCTGCCAGTTCCAGGAATTATGGACCCAGCTTTTAATACAGTACAGACCCTTAGACCATTTTCTTTTAGACATCAAAATAGCATCTTTTGGGGGTCATTTTAAAAGATGAAAATGGGATGCAAATCTTATAAAATAATATAACTGGCAAGATCATTGTGAGATAATAAAAAAACTGTAAAGTCAGATTAGGCAGATCCCCTGGGGGGAGGGGAAGCATAATAATGCAAGCTCGTCAGGGTGCTCAGGCTGAGATGCAGGACCTACTGCTTTTTAGCTGTGTGACATTGGCTAGGTTACCGAGCCTCTCTGATAAAGCTCTTTGTACGGTGTCTGGCACAAGTGTGCGTCCTATAAATATTACCTTCTGTTATTGTTTTAAAGTCCAGATCACTATAATTTGCCTGGAAAAAGTGAAAATGATCCATTTGAGTTTTTTATTTACTCTTTTTTTCCTTTATTATGTAGACACTGATTTGGTTCTTGTGATTGGAGCTAATGACACTGTGAATTCAGCAGCTCAAGAAGACCCCAACTCTATTATTGCAGGCATGCCAGTCCTTGAGGTCTGGAAATCAAAGCAGGTAAGGTTTCAGACTTGTGTTTCATTCTAATAATCAAATGTCTCCTACAACATGCACCCAGAGCTGTCCTGGTTCACTTGGTGAGGAGCACCGATGCGTTTTGGGAGCCCCAGGAGCTAGAGTGGGTGTAGGGCCCAGCTCTCCATATCCAGCTTCTGTCTATTCGGTGGTCACCAGAGAACCCAAGTAGATGCCCTGGTCACCATTTGAACTAGATAATATTATGTGGGGATTAACAAAATCTGTAACCACAGCTGAAAAAAGAGCTGTGAGCTTTTGGAATGAGCCTGGCTGACTTCCAGATAGAGTCCAGTGAAGCAGATGGCTTCCCTCTGGGACAGTGAGTCAGTATCATCGCCTTCATATACGAAGACGAGCACATTTTTTCATTTAATTTTTTTGAAAGGGAATTTGTTGTTGTTATGGAGTGTCCAGAAGAAAGGTGATTTAGAAATCCAAACTATAACATGGCATAAGGAAGCAAGGCGTGCTCATGTACATCACCTCTGTGGAAGCTAACTGCTGGGTTATAGAGAGCTCAGAGGCTTCTACATTTCCCCTGCCCTGGCGGAGGACAGGTCTCTTTACCACTCTCAGGTCAGATCTGCATTTTAACAGTCATAATTATGTAATGTACCTTTCCCTTTAATTTTGTTTCTTTTTATTGTAAATATGTGAGCTTGAAATTTGTGGTGGGTGAGATATGCACTTGTTCATGTGTAGATGAGAAACTATTGCATTGGTCATCAATATTTGAGAGTTTGCAGAATGCATTATGGTACTAAGGCTGTGTGAAGTGTAAGTAAGTTTATATTGCTTTCATTTTTGGATAGATTACATGTCCTAGACTACTATAGAAGGGCTTTCATTTCCTTAAGAACTAACTTGATATTTAACTGAATAGCACCATCCATAATTCATGTAATTGTAAATGACTGTGACACATCAATATTAGAGATAGCCTTACTTCTTCCATTTTGCTTTGTAGGAGCATAATATTAGTTATTAGCTCTGTCTTGTGACAGGCTAGATTGTTCTTTGGGCTTTTGTCTTGGAACCTTCTGATCTACTTTAAAGTGTTGGAATAAGAATCACACCATTTTCCCACTCAGCTACATTTACCTTAGGATTTGTAGCAGAAGTTTATACGCTAAATTTGTTCTCTTAAGCCCATTCAGAGAAAGATACTTATTTTTCTGACTAGAAAATGTTACATAGTCTTTATGGAAGAAAAGCACTGAGAAGAAAATCTCTTGTAATCTTATTATTCATAGATAAACTATTGTTAACATGATTTTTGTCTCACGGATAGGAGTAAGGGCAAATGAAAGTTAATACAATGTAAACATGCCTTTAGAAAGTACTCCCTGGGGCGCCTGGGTGGCTCAGTTGGTTAAGCGACTGCCTTCAGCTCAGGTCATGATCTTGGAGTCCCTGGATCGAGTCCTGCATCGGGCTCCCTGCTTGGCAGGGAGTCTGCTTCGCCCTCTGACCCTCCCCCCTCTCATGTGCTCTCTCTCATTCTCTCTCTCACAAATAAATAAAATCTTAAAAAAAAAAAAAAAAAAAGAAAGCACTCCCTGGAATTGTGTAAGACTGTTGAATCACAGACCTGTACCTCTGAAACAATACGTTATATGTTAAAAAAAAAGAAGATAGTAGGAAGGGAAAAATGAAGGGGGGGGAATCAGAGGGGGAGACGAACCATGAGAGACTTTGGACTCTGAGAAACAAACAGGGTTTTAAAGGGGAAGGGGGTATGGGGGGATGGGTGAGCCTGGTGATGGGTATTAAGGAGGGCACATATTGAATGGAGCACTGGGTGTTATACGCAAACAATGGATCGTGGATCACTACATCAAAAACTAATGATGTATTGTATGGTGACTAACATAACGTAATAAAAAATCTACCACCAGGAAAAAAAAAAAGCAAGCAAGCAAGCACTCCCTGTGTATTGTAGAAGTCTGTGTACTCAGGAGTTAGTAGTGGTATGTGCTTCATTCAAAGCTAGGGCAGGGCAGGGTCGGCCTGTCTATCATGTCCCAGTCAGGTCTGTTCAATACACTCACTCTCTCAGTTCATCTTTGCTCCTTAGGTCATCGTTATGAAGAGGTCCTTGGGTGTTGGCTATGCTGCAGTGGACAATCCAATCTTCTACAAACCTAACACGGCCATGCTTCTAGGCGATGCTAAGAAGACCTGCGATGCACTGCAGGCGAAAGTGAGAGAATCCTACCAGAAGTAAATTTTAAAGACCAAGCTATTGTCTGACGAAGCCACTTCTTCCGTTGTGGGAACAGGCAAATAAAGTAATCACTCCATACAGCTGATAGACATCTGTAGCAAAGCTCTTGGAAGAAAAAGAAGACTGAAGAAAGCAAAGCAAGCAGGGAGATTTTTCAGGAACAGTGATCCCTTGATGTAAAAAAAAAAGATTGAGAATTCTACATGTCTTCCTGTGCATATTTTTTGTGTTATGAATTTCAAAAGTATTTTATAAAAGGAGAAAGAACAGCCTTATTTTAGTTCTAATCCATTTGGATTTTTTTTAATTCTTCCACAGTAGTCAGAGTGTTTAAGAAATTAAATCTTTAGGATCTTAGTACTTACATTATATACATGGATCTGAAAAATCTTACCCTGTAAACATTACAGCTACCTTCATTTATGTTTTTTGCAACAAATGTTACTAATTTGAAACTTTTGTCAACTTCTGAGCTATCCTCTAACCATTTAACCATAATCTGAATTAACCATATCAAATTGGCTTCAACTTTTTGAACTGTACTTCCAATTCTAGGTTTCAGGGATGTATTTTCTGACTTCTATATTAATATATTAAAGGACTAGATAATCTTTCAGAGGAACAAATCATTTGCTTTGTATGTTTCATCAGGACACCAATGAAACATATAATTTGAAATCAGTATTGTATTTTTAAAAATCCCATTTCCAATCAGATCTTTTTTTAGTTTCAATCAATTTATACTGTGTATTACTATATTAAGTGCACTTGAATGGAATTCAAGTATTTGACTAATCAAATGAGTTCATCATGTTTGCATAGAGATGTAGCAATTGTCTCTGGTAACAAAGGGCTAAAGTGAATAGTTCTGCCTGTTACTAACATCTGGGGAAGACTTGCTACTATGAAATAGATGAAATTAATCAGTCTCTTAACTGTTGGCAAGAATTTTTTATCCAAATCAGAGTGTGTTTTGAGGTCTTATGTAATTGATGACATTTGAGAAAAATGGTGGCACTTTTTTTTTAGCTACCTATTTGTTTATCTAAGCACCAGTAAAAATCATGTCTTTTTGCAGTAAAAGTGTAGATTTTCTTTGTGACTTTGCTACTGTTCCAAAAGCTCCTTATAGGTGAATGTGTGAGGAATACTTGGAATATCTGCCTCTCTATTTAACGAATTTGGTACTAAGTTTCTCGAAACAATTATAAACACATAAAAACTATTTCTAAACCAGAAAGAGAAATAACTGGTGTGAAATTTTTTACTGCTATGCTCGTGTTTACTCAGTTTACAACTCACAGTATCTGTTGGTTTGGTAGTCAGCTTCTGTTTTGCTGTGCCTGAGATTAAAATCTGTGTGTGTGTGTGTGTGTGTGTGTTTGTGTACATATGTTTTAAAAGCAGGAAAGACTCCTTTTTAATTTTTAAGTGGTAAATGCAATTTGCTACTGGATCTCAGATCATTAATAAGCTAAAGTCTGAATTATATCATGAAAGTTCTACTAGAAAAAACTAAATAGTATCTTTATTTATGTCCTTTTCCCTTTCTCAAAGTAGTAGGTACATCTGGAAAGCAGCAACTTGGATTTTTTGTTGTTGTTGTTTTTGAGATAATTCCTGCATTGAGCTTGAACTAAAAATAATTATACTTGGATTTATTTACTTTTGTTGTTTATAGTAAGTATTTTTAAAAGTACGAACCTCATTCTTTGCTGCTCACTAGTCCTTGGTCATTCAGTTGTGTTAACTGAATTGAACCAACATCCAGTTGGTTTTTTTTTTTTTTTTACTTTATTGGTTAGGCTACTTAAATGAATTTGGATACATAATTTCTTAAAGTAATACTCCTAAAAGTTGGTGGCCTTGGATTATTTATGGTAAAGTCTAATATCAACAAAAATAATCTTCATCCATCCTGTTTTATTACTCTTTTTTTCTGCTAAGTCATACAGCTGGAAGGTCTGACTCCTTTTTATTCTTGTATTGCTCACAGTATATATTGATATTCAACTAGAAATAATTTTTAAAAAAATCCATTGTACCTCAGAGGCTGTTACCAAAAAAAAAAAAAAAAAAAGAAAGACACATAGGCAGGGAAAGGCTAATGTTGATGTGTCTTTTAGGCCTTTTTAATAATCCTTTTTTTCCTCGTTTGTCATAAATTGGGAGTTTGTGTTTAAAGTTATGCATCTAGGTAAAGAATGTATATAAGTAAATGTATAAATTTTAATACATTATATGTATGTTTCTGTCTAACTGTGGACAGTGTTCTGGCATATAAATCTTTTTATCATTCTCTCTATTTTTTCTAGGGATTGGAATAGAGAGGAGTGAGAGAGAGAGGATTAATCTTTTTCTGCATTGGGCGTTTCAGGCGTTTATGGACTCAGGGAATAAGAGTTAGGTATTTGGTAATGAATCTGGATAGTGGGCCTTGGCCTTTCTGAATCGATCCAAGTCATGGCCCTAACTTTTAGATTTTGCTGTTTTGTCATACAACACAAATATGGGATATATTATGTATCAGTCAGCTTTAGGGTTTAGTTCAATTTATCCTATGCCAAAGCCTTATTATGTATAATTAATAACTCATAACCCATGTGTTCATCTGACTGAGAGGCAAATTTTCAAGTCCCTTAAGGCATAAGTCTTATGAGTTAAAGCATTTTAGAACTGGAAAGTTGGATAGCTCTTTTGGATAGCTAGGGGAGATAGTTCAAATGTCTAATTTATAGCTCCTGCCAGTTTTTGAGAGTCTTTGCCAACAAATATTATTGGGTCAGAATGGTAAAAGAAAAAAAAACAAAAACAAAAAAACAAAACCCTATACTCCAGAGGCAGCAACTTGACATTCCTGCTGCTCTTTAGATTCTCAAAGGAAAGAAGGATGAGTTTAATTAACAAGGAGGGGAAAAAAAACTTTAAGTGAAATTTTAAAAGTGTTAGTGTAGTAAAGGAGCAGAAATTTTGAAGCTCTTAAGATTGTTGTTCTTAAACTTTTAGAAGTTACATATTGAGCTAAGGAATTAAACTGTTCACTATTTAAGTGGTTATATAGACATTTACCATGGTGTATACTGTAATTCTGGATGGAAACCTTTTGTATAAAATAGTGATGGAGATGATGAGACAGTAATTAGAATATTGAATATTTGAAACTCTGACATACAATGATTAAGATAATGGTAGAAAAAGATAGTTGGATCTGGGTAGATAATTTATTTGGGGAAGAACGGAAAACCATAATGGATAGGTAGAGAAAGGCCAGTTTAGGATTATGGAGAACTTTAAAAGCTGGAACTCAAGTAGTGGGGAGATACTACATCTCTGTTATGTCGATTGTGAAAGCATATGACTACCTCATTCTATATAAAATATTTGTACTTCATATTCTTGCCAAAGATCACAACTTTGAACTCTGTTTTCCAGTTCTTTCCAAAAGCCCATTTCTGAAGAAGAATAACTAATGAAAAGATAGCCTAAAGGATATGGAGTCCAGTTTGCCCCTGGATATTTCAGATTTTGCTCAGAGACCAAGTCAGCCCTTCAGACGTCTGGGTGCTTGGGCTCTGTTGGGTGGGTCATTGTGGATAACAACGACATGAGGGACTGGAATGGAAGGTGGGGGGAGAGGGATCTAGCTCACTTCAGGGGATTATGAGTGTGGGAGAGGTACATGTGTCAGCAATAGAATGGTGGGGAGTAAAAGTGGTTGTCACAGACTTTGAGAAGAATTGAGGTGATGTGGATCTGGGGTACACAGGTGACACATGGGAAGATGGTGGCTAGTTCCTTCTCCCAATGATGGAGAGATGTGAAGAAGGAATTGAGAACTTAGGGCAAGGGGTTGGAGGTGTTCCTATTTATTATAAAGACAGAAGAGTAAGATCTAAGAACTTTCTCATCCTCCTTCCTGTTGTATTTGGGAAGATGAAAAGCACAGCACAAAGTGATCTGATGTATAGGGAATAGTAAAAACCCGTGGAAATGGACCATTCAGAAATTCAGATAAGGCCATTTTTTCCCCCATCCACCTACTTTGTTTTTGGCTTACCACAGGAAAAACAAAACTTGGAAACTTCTCCAGTAAGGCGTAGAACTAGATTTAGCCAGTGAACTTTTATCTAAATCAGCCCTTCTCTGGACCCGATTTTCCAAAAGCCAGTGAACCGCTGTCAGCCAGCCTTGCCTTCCCCCCCTTCTTTCTTCCAGTTTGGGAGTGCACTTTCTACAAGAGTACAGTGCTTACACTGATGGAGCAGGGTCTGTGCCTGGTGAATTCCATCCAGACCTTGGGATTCTAGTCCTCTACTACACACACACACACACACACAGAGATGCTGGGTTCAAACTGAAAGGTCACCTCTAAACCTCTAGAGAAATGGGAGAAAGTCTGACTGGGTAACTGCCTTGTGTTATGTCAGTAGGGAGATAACTCCTTCCCCAGAGGGATGAAACAGAATGTCATGGCTTTATCTTAGAATGTTTTGTCACTACTCTGAGTTTACTGGAACACTATGCTTCAGAAATCAGTCCTAGAAAAGGCCTTTAAAAGCTTTCAGGGCTTTACTGATTCGTGGAAAATTTTGTTCTTGCAAATTATAGCCGGCTTTGTGGTTTTGTCCCATTGGGGTATCTATGAGCATGGAAGCTTAGACATACTTAAGGTCCACTTTGTGTCTGATTGTGGATAACTGCTTCATTAGTGTTGGGTGTAATTATAGTAACTTGGAAACATGCTCATATAAAGATTAGAATCATCATTGTAAATGAGACCAATAGAACATTCAAAGACTATGACAAAATCTTATGAAAATCTTATCCTACATGGAAGAATTTTAGAGTACTGTACTGCTTTGGTCCTTGCTGTCATGCATCTCACCCAGAATACTGTCTGTGTAAGCATCACGAATGGGTAGGATTTTAATGGTGAATATAGGAAAAGTAGTTGGATGATGGCATCACTATGAAAAGTGTTACTGTTTTCTACATAATGAATCACTCTTGGTAATGCCTACATTTCTGGAGGGTCTCACCTTTTGCTAAATTAAACATAAAGGCATTTTAATAAGTATGTTACCATGGGTGTGGGGGGGAGGGAAGGAAGTGCATTTTTATGTGTGTTCCACATGGAATTCTGTTTAGGACTCATTATCTGGAAGTTTATCTTAACCTTTTTTTTTTATTATTATTATTCCAGATAGAAAGACTCTGCCCTCTTACTCTTATTTATTTATTTATTTATTTTAAGATTTTATTTATTTATTTGACAGAGAGAGAAACAGCAAGAGCAGGAACACAAGCAGGGGGAGTGGGAGAGAGAGAAGCAGGCTTCCTGCCGAGCAGGGAGCCCGATGTGGGACTCGATCCCAGGACCCTGGGATCATGACCTGAGCCGAAGGCAGACGCTTAACGACTGAGCCACCCAGGTGCCCCCTCTTGCTCATTTTAGTAGCTCAGTGGGTAATAGTAATAGCAGCTACTAGTTGAGTGCTTATTTTGTGCTAGGCACCATCTTGTTCGCATCCTGTGAGTTCTCAGGGCCTCCTACAATAGAAGATGGCGCCCTTGACCTGACGGCAGCAGGGTCCACTCAACCACTCTTGATGTTTGTCAAGCAGAAATAGCTAAAGAAAAGATGGCACTCACAAAAGGGAGGAACCATGTCATACTAAACTATTTAAATATATATTTTTAAAAAACCCAGTTGAAATTTCAGCCAGAAGATGCCAACCACTTACAAAATGACATGAAGAAATGTGACTTTGGGGGAGGAAGGCAGTGCCGGCTGTTTTCACACACGGCATGACAAAAGTTGCCTGTCGCGTCATGATTTGTCTCTCCACCCCTTCTGTCTCCAAGCTGCCATTTGCCTCGTCCACAAAAGCTTAAGTCCTGGGGTTGCTTCTTCCTTAGGAGCAGAACCAAGGAAGCTTGGAGCAGATTGTCCAAAACCCTTTGAGGGTTTTGCTTTCCAGAATCATAGTTACCACACCCCCATGTCTGCTTTGACCTCTCACAGCTTCCTACCCAACAGCCAGTCAGTCAGGCCATAGCTTTTTGCTGTGAATTGTCACCTCCCAGGCCACAAACTCAGATGTACTGAAATATGACTTCGTTTTCTATAACTGAACTGAATTCCTTTCATTTAAAGCAAGATAGAATTGGAAGGAAGAAATACGCAAGGTGGAGGACATGATCATCTCAATGTATTTTGGTGAATTTCTCCTACGATTTATATTT